AGAGAGAGAGAGAGAGAAAAGGAGTTCTATATCAAAAGAAATAAAGTTATATTACATGTTCGTCGTCATTCGGACGATTCGCAAAGAATTTATTTGGGATCGCGCGAGCGCAGCTTGCGCGTATGTCGATGATTACGATACGATATTCCTTATGTTACGATGTAATATTATATTTATTAAATAAAACTAGTAACTGACGTATTTTGATCAACCGCGCTGTTCTTTATGCCAAAATATGTGGAAAATATATCTCTTTGAACGAAAATGGACGAAAATAATTAACGAAGCTGCCGAAATATTTGATAAAATCTATTTTTCATGGACTTTTATTTTTCTCTTGAATGTAATGTTGTATTTATAAATTATTGGAATGATTCACTTTAAATAATTCCCGTAATTTTGTTGCTTTTTTTCCATTCATCCATTTAATTTTTTTTTTATCCTCCTGTATGGAAATAGCAATGGTGTCTCAAAAGAGGTGACTTAATGATTTGATATCTCTACATTTGTTTAACACATGTCAATAAATATAAAAAGTAAGTATAAATTATATTAATTAATTAAAAAATAATATAATTTTTAAATTGTATTAACAATAATATGCAAATTGGATAAATTATAAAATTTGGAATCATTAATTATCAACGATTTCTATTTTGCAGGCTTCGAAAGGTAAACAAATAATTCAATTATATGATTAAGGAGTTCCGGAAATTTCACAATCAAATTAATAAAGTAAAATATTGTCAAGAATCATTTGCAAAATTTGGCTGAATGAAATTTTGTGTAATTCTCTGTTGCATGCATCTTCCCAAAGTTAATAACGCATGAATAATTATACGCAATTTCCTTATAAATTGTCATAATTACGCGACACTATCATACAGTATGTAGCACACCGATCAAATTTGTCATTGCGCGTGGGATAATAATCCGTATTTAACATTGTGTTTTCCCTCAAACTGCATGTGTAATATATAAATTAATAAGTAACTAGCGTACTGTGTAATAATTAATATACTAGGTCAGTATTTCGCTGCAATATTATTACGAGAGATAAATAAAAAGGCGAATAAGAGAGGAGTTTTTATAAAAATGTTACATCGATCAATACTGATCCGATGCTCGTATATCGACGCGAATTAGGAGGAAAGTTAGTAGAAATTTTTTTCAGGAAATATTAATAAACGAGCATAATATCGTAAAAGCGGCAGGAATATTTCAGCTAAACGTTAATCAATACCGTTCCTTGTCTATCGCGCGTAACTCTCATTAATGACGAGTATGCAATATTCCTCGCGACGATAAGTGCCCGCTCGTGCCGATACCGCCTGCTGACCGTATAATTGAATCCGTAATAAGATGAGGACTGCAAACGCAGAATCAAGAAAATTGCGAGGAGACCCTCGTTGCGCGAAGCAGCTTAATTTACATATTCCACCCTCAACGATGCTTAAGTCCCCTCTCGAGTCTTTTATATATCGCCGATTCAGATAAAACCGCACAGAAGTACTTATCACGATTACATTACGTGAAATTGTGAAGAAGACGTTTATAGAAACGCATGTCGCTAATTTGTCTATCTGATAATATTTTGCTCCATTTCAATATCGTTAATTTAATTTAATTTCTTGAAGTAATTATTTCATATTAATTTTAACGAATTGTTTTGCGATTTATACTCATCCGTCTATTTTATACAGATCAATAATTGTAAAAAATTCACTTTGCACTCAGCCTGCATTCAACTTGGATTACATTTAAAAAAATAAAAATACAAACAAGTTGTTTATTGGAAGAAAAACACTTGTTGAAATATAAATACATTCCTGTATTTTGTGCTTTCGGTAAGATGAAAAATTATAATTATACTAATTTATAAAACACACGTTTATCTTTCGCACGACAATTCAGCTTGATGTAGGCGGAAAAATGGGATTTCCG